TCTCTAAAAGTTCATGTTTATTATGGGTTGTTTTTGTTTGTTCTACAGTATAAAGTGATGTCATCGTTCCATTTTTCTTATGCACAATCATAAAGCAGGTTTTTCCTCTCTTTCTTATATCATTGTAGATCTTTGACAGCAGAACCGCTGTTTCTTTAAAATTTAATATCTTAGTTTGTTTTCTGTTCATTCTTCAGAAGTAAATTATTAAATCTCAGATCACAACAATTTAAGCCTCAGATTAAAAAAACATTTGATGACCGCGTGGCTCGGATAGAAAATTGTAATATGAAATATTAATTTTGACAATCGTAGTGAATAAACAAAGCACGGGAATGACAGATATTACAGCAAGTCGTTGCTAAAAGAGCTACAAGAGTCATTTTATGACGAACACAAACTGACGTAGCATAAATAAACTGGGCCCGTTCACCTAAAAGCAAGGCTACATTTTAACATCAGTTTATTGTGTTTAAATTAATTCAACAAAAGCATCCAGTTATAAAATAGTTGTCAAGGCCTTTTTAAATCGTCCAGAACTAAATGCTTATGTGCACGGTGGAGCAGTTGGTAGAGCTGTTACCTCAGCCAGAAGATCGCTGGTTCAAATCCCGGCCTGGGATCTTCCTGGGTGGAGTTTGCATGTTCTCTCCGTGCATGCGTGGGTTTTCTCCAGTTTCCTCCCACAGACCAAAAACATGCATGTGACTGGTTAGTAATTCTAATTGTCCCTAGGTGCGTGAAAGTGAATGTTTTGTCTCGTTTGTCTCCATGTGTCCCTGTGATGGACTGGAGACCTGTCCAGGGTGTCCCATGCCTTGAACACAGCAACTGCTGGATATGGGCACCAGTGACCCCCATGACCTGGAAAGGAAGCGGGTGAAGATGATGGATGGATGCATGCATAAAGGTTTTAAAATTATAGCTGCACTGCCCCCTCCTGACCACATCATGTTACTGCAGGTTAAAAGGAGTGATGGAAAAAAATAGAAATTCATTCTGCTCCAAGAGACATTTTTAAAAAGTTTTAGAACTTGGCAGGAGTCATTATTTTAACTTTATTTTCCAATTCATTACATTTTAAATAGACATGACCTTTTAATACACCAATATATTTTGTTCTTGTTACAAGCCTGAACTCTAAAGTCGATACTCAGCTACATGACAAAATGAATTCACATTTCAGCAGATTTTCAGTTAAATGTGAAGGACAGGATAAAAATCATTTTGATCCATCAACAGACGTTCTGGGTTTCTGGGTCCTGAACGTTCAGAGGAAACTGATGAACAAAGATCAGAACGAAAAAATTTAGTCTCATATGTACACCAGCTTTAACCTACCACCTGCTGTTATTAGAACAGAGTGCAAAATTATTAATCTACTAAACCTTTCAAATTCCTCTTAGTAAACACAACCATCTGATGATCCATCAACTAAAATAACATTTTGTGTCACAATAATGCCTTTAACAGAGACAAAGACACAAATGTGTTATAAAGCAGAACTTTAATATATCTTCTGTCATACTTGACAGTAAGTTGTTAGTGGTCGAACAATGGCATGGAGAGGTCATGATACACTGCACATCTTTTATTTTATAATTCTGGTTTGTACGTCACAGATTCAATATTCTTTACTTTTTTCTGTACAGTATAATTACCATGTATATAAAATGAAAAAAACAAAAACAATGAACCGTTACGTTTCAGTTTGAAAACTGCAAACAATCGACACGTTCTGCCAAGACAAAGAGACGAATCTAAAGGGTGACTTCTTTGACTCCCAGCTGAAATAAGGCCCATCATTCCTGTCCCTGCTAGGCGTCGCCTGACGTTCACACTAAATTAAAGCCTTTTTATTGCTCTCTGCAACATCGCTGTTCGGAGATAAAGGTTCTGCTTTAATAAAGTGCTCTTTATTGTGTGGAATAGAAACGTTCGATGGGAGTCAGATCAGACGAATTGGGAGGAAATCGAGGTAAACGAGGCAGAAAAGACACCGGATGGTGGAGAGAAGACACAGCAGAGACCGTCATGATGGCACACCGTGAACGCAGCCTGTTAAAAACTAGTCATCATCTGCATTGTGACTGGAATGTGACTTATTTTTTTAGTTCATGGAATCAGTAGAATGTAATCTTTGCCCACCTGCGACAAATTATTTTAGTTTTTAATGTTGATTTAAATGTACGTTTTAGGATTTTGGAAAGATTGCCTGCCTTCTTACAGAGTTCCTGGAATATTAACGGTTTAATAACATTTTTCTGCCCAACTAATTCAATGTAGAACACCAGTGTGACCTGAATTATAATAAAAGGTTTGATTTTTTTTTTTGTCCAGGTGAGCAGACTGATTCTGGTTGGTTTGAGTGAATTTAGTACATTTCTGCAACACAAAGCTTGAACTTAAAACATTAAAGTAAACATGACGTGAGAAAAAAACCCACAGTGAGAGTGAGACAATGCACATGTGATAAAGAAGGCCTTCAAATCTTATAAAGTGATTTAAAAAAACGTTTCACGAAGCACATTAAGTATTGTACAAAAACAAAAGCTACCGTATTTTTCGGACTATAAGGTGCACTTAAAATCCTTTAATTTTCTCAAAAATCGACAGTGAGCCTTATGTATTAATTCTGGTTGTGCTTACTGACCTCGAACCGATTTTATCTGTTTATTGTGAATGAGTAGAATAAATTTTGACTCATCTGTTTTGTTTCACTTAATGCGCCTTTTAATCCGGTGTGCCTTATGGTCCAAAAAATATGATAAACAACAAAAAGACGTTGTAATGACCGCTGGTGAAGAGACTTTATCGAGTGAAGACGACCTGTATGGAGTAGATTAAACTCGTACGAACAACAGAACAGGTTCTTCTAAAGGCTGCATGGCTTCAGATTAAAGTTTTTATTTGCACCAAACATTACTCGCAAAGATGCTCCGAGAATGTTTGCTCAAAAAGATGCATTTGGTATGAAAAATAGTGTTTCTTTCTTTAGAGAAACTAAAATCTTTGGAATAATGTAACGTCGTCAAAATGTATAATTTTTGAAAATAGCTCAATCAAAGCAAAGTTTGGTTCCCTCTTGAAGTAAATGTTTAGATCACCTACTTTTCAGCTGCTTTAATTAAAATAAATAAATAAAATAAAACCGACTAAACTATTAGATTTAAGGATGAGCAAACTGCATCTGAGGCCAAATTAAAGCTTCTTTATACAGAAAACTTCTAACAGAACATAGTCTGCAGCTTGTTCATTTTAAACTCAACTTCAAAATGTTAATTGTTCATTCATGAAACTATAAAAGAAGACGATGTCGTGAACGTTCCTAAAATCATTTGACTTGCTATTCTCTTAAATTGTTTTAATGAGCCTTTCAGCACAAGTTGGACTGAATCTTCCACGCGAGTCGATGTTTCTGACAGTAGACTTAAATTTGGTCAGATAACAGTGACATTTTGTTACGGTATACAATATACACACAAATACAGCTTCATTACAAAAGAAGAAAACCAATCTGCTGAGCACACGATTTATGAACGAAACGTGCAAAAACAAAATTTATTGCAACTCTTTCTATGCAACCAAAACTATTTTAAAGTTATAGAGTAGAAAAAATAATAAAGAAACTTCTCAGGTCCTATTCTGCTGTAATTTGAGCTTTTTACATCAGTTAATCTGAGTGTATCAGAGGTGAAGTTAGTGCGTTTTGAGTTTTAAATTACCTAAATACATTTCAGGGGTTCCGAACCCTGGTCCTTGAGGAACGCCATCCTGCATGTTTTAGTTGTTTCCCTGCTCCAACACACCCGATTCAGCAACACACCTGATTCAGTGATTTAATTCCTTCCTCGTGTTCTGCAGAAGCCTGTAAATCACCCATTAATTAAAATTAGGTGCGTCAGAGCAGAGAATCAACTAAAACATGCAGGATGGTGTTCCTCAAGGACCAGGGTTGGGAACCCATGCATTAAGGTACACCATGAGAACAGAACAAACGTCAATGAAAGGGTGTAAACTCATTCAGCTCCATCAAACCGTGGTAAACGATGTTACGCTCATCCAGCTGTTGTTTTACAGGTAAACAACGATGATCAGAGTCATCCCCAACTGGTAAGATTAGTTGATTAGTAGTTGGATGTGAAGCTGTGCAAAAGTTCTGCAGAGTTTGTTAAAATGCTTTTTAATGCCCGTGTTTGTTTAACGTTGCTGCGGTTTGCACAAGAGCGTAAAATGACTTTTAAAGGGTATTCAGAAAAGAGATTATAATTCAACTACATATTTTACACCTATACTGCATAGAAACTTTTTTTTTTTGCCACGTCATGCCTGCAGTGTTTAGACTCAAGATGGAGGCAACATAAGGACACGTTTAAAATGTAGTGGTTCTTGATGGGCATGTTAACGAGTCCACTCTCAGTGTAAAACATAAAACTTCTACAACAAAAGGGAGCTTGACGTTGATGGCAGAGCAAAACATCTATGCAAAAAGCTTTGCAAACATTCAGAAATACCCTTTGTTAGGGGTTCAAACTCCCTGAAGTCCAGCAACACTTTCCCGAGTGAACATAAAAACAGCAGATGAACTTTCTCGAGTCAGCTACAGAAGGCCACAAGCTCCTCGACTCTGCCGACAAACATCTCATTTCTTTTACACAGTGGCTTTCAAAGTAATTAAATACATTCAATTAATTGCAAACAAATGTTAAGTCAAATTAAAATGGTGAAAAAATCAATTAAAAAAACAGGAACCAAAAAAAAAAAAAAAAAAAAGTGAAATAAGGCCAAATGTTTTAAAATGCTACATCTAAATGATGGATGCGCAGCAGTCTCCAGTGACAGAACGACATGTTTAAGTCTAATTTAAAGTGCAATGAGTAAAAGTGAAGAAATGATATTTTGTTTTGTTGAATATGATTAGGTCTAGAGGCCCCGCGTGTCTCAGAGAAGGTGACTTTAAAGACAAACAGATCGACACTAAACTAAAAGACCTAACGCTAAAACAGTCCAACCTTTTGGTAATGCATAGCTCTTTCCTGATCTCAGAACATCAAGCAGTAAATCAGCCTTTTCTCTGACGGCTGCTGATTTTCCACCCCGTCTAAAAAAATAAAGAGCAACGACGATAAAGAAATGGCTTCTTTTATCCCCTTGGGCTCTTGCTCTTACTTGGAGTTTTCGTTTCTTACAGCAGTTGCCGTTTTGGCTTTTTATCTTCGTTTCTGAACCCAGCAATGACGCAACCGTCTCCAGTCTGAACAGTCGAGACCCGACGTTGCTCTGGTCTCAGTCTCAGGGCAGGAAAGGTTCATCCTCGTCGTCGACTTCGTCTGAGCCGGGACCGGGATCGCTCAGACACCTCATCAGCTTCTGCTGCTCCCTTGCTTCATCTTTGTCTCCAGATTTCTTTGGTCCACTTGAATAAGGTCTCATCGTCAGGCCTTGGTCCTCCTCTCCTCCCTGCTTGTCCGCCTCTCTGAAGGTTTTCTTCGGGTTTAAAAAATCCGGGGACTCTGGAGACGCCAGGTCTATCTTGATGGTTGGCACACCATCTGCTGCTGGTCTCGTGCGGTAAGATTGTGGATCTGAAGGCAGAACAAATCATTGTATCAACAAGAAAGAACTTTAAAATACAATCCTAATTCTAAAATATTGGGGCACGGTGTAAAACGTTAATAAAAATAAAACGTAATGATTTGCTCATCTCATAAACCCATGTGTTATTCACAATTAAACGTATTGAATGTAAATATTTTGAAGGCATCAAACAGGAAATTGTACCAGTTTTTTTGTTTATGTAATTTTGAATTTGATGGTAGCATCATATCTTTAAAAAAATGTTACAGGGACAAAAAAATAAACAAAAAAAACAACTGTAAACAAAGTGGTACCACTAGGATCAGATGGAGGAGCAATTTGCAACGAACAGGTTTACTGGCAACAGGATGCGGAGGACAGAGTGAGATGGAGGAGGATGACTCTCTGTGGCGACCCCTGAAGAGGGAAAAGCCGAAAGAAGAAGAATCGAAGAACAACAAAAACAAAATGAACAAAAACAGCAAGAAGAAGTAAAACAAGAACAAGAAGATCAAGAAGAAGAAGGTTTATTGGCAACTGGCTGGTAAGAGAACAGGGTATAAAATGAGAAGTTTAGAAAGACCGAGTGTCTTGGAAGTAAAGATGGGCATTGGTTCATGAAATCATGGACACCACGTCCTCTCTACTGAAGAAGAGCGGGACCATCCAGCCATTTATCAGTAATCAGTTCACAAACATGCCTCGGGGGTGCATTAGTGCCTCTAGTATTGACAGTTTACAGATTTGGAACGAGTCCATCAATGTAGAGAAGTAGACACTGGTTTTAGAACATATGCTTCCATCCAGATGTCTTTTTAAGGAAAGGCCTTGCATGCACAAGACAACACGACACCAAATACTGAGTTTATTACCACAGCCTGGGTTTGTAGCAGAAGAGTCAGGGTGATGAACCCACCTGCCTGCAGTCTAGACCTCGCACCAATTAAAATAAACATTTAGTGCATCGTGAAAAGAACTCCAGCAATGAAGACAAGGCTGTTGAACAGCTAGAATCCTACAACAGAAAAGAATGGGACATTTCCCTCAAAAAACTCCAACGCTTGGTCTTCTCTGTTCCTAAACGTTCATACTGTTGTTGAAAATGAGAAGATTCTTCACAGTGGGTCACATAGATGAGTCCTAACTCTGACATGCTTCACTGCCCTCAGACTCAATATGAGCTTTTTGTTTTCCTAAAACTGGTACAATTTCTTAGTTTAAACATTTGATATATTTACCAAGTTCCACAGTGAATAAAATGTAAGTTTATAAAATGTGAAAATCATTTTATTCCGTTTTCATTTTACAAAATATCCCAACTATTTCCAGAGTTAGGGTTGTAGATGAAATCTTCTGCCGTCATTCCATCAACATGCGTGTTCATACAATGGACAAGGGAGGGACGTGGATAACAAATACCAGACTTGGTGTCACTGCAGGCATTGAGACCTTCATTTGTTTTTAACACAAGCGCAATGCAAGTCACCACGATGCGTGATGGAAACATGCTGGAATAACTCTGCTATTGTTAAAACTAAGACAGTGCTGCTCAGGCTTCCCACTGGGAACATGCTCATCAGAACTGGACCTGTTCTGCCTCACCATTCGTGAAAAGTTAGTAAAACGTACATGCAGGGCTTAATTTGTAAACCGATCGATGCCGGAACGCAAATAGCAGGCGGGCCGGGGTGGGGGGGGGTTGTCTGGGGGTCCAAAGGCTGGAGGTGGGAGATGTCTGGGCGTCCTCCCCAAAAATTTTTTGAATAAAGTAGATGCCATTTCCTGCATTTTGGTGTATTTTAACGGGGTGGTGAAGATTCTGAGTCATCCAGGCCATGGTAAATTCAAAAAGTCCAGTTGTTTTTGTCTTGAACTCTTTTGAATTTTAATGGGTTGTCAAACATCTGTTTACCTACCTTTGTAAACACTCGTTTCTGTCAAGCATCCTACACCCTGCACTTAGTTGACGGTTCTGAGCCCGATTCTTCTCCTCAGAATTCACTGTCCAACGCCACATGTGAAACCTCCAGGCACCTCCTCCGTCTCTTCATGGCGGCTGCTTGTGGGCTCCTGCCTGGTTAGCTCAGCACTCACCCCCCACCACTCGCTTGCTCCTGCTCCAACCCCCATTGCCGCTGCCTTCAGATGCTTCAGTTCTCGGTTGTCCAACTAAGGACAATGATAAGACTTTTTTTATTTTTTATGAAAGTAAATTGGGACTGTCTTTTCGACATTTTGATCGCTGTTATTTTGATAAATTAGCGTTGTTGTTTCGATATGTGATGTGAATAATACACATCAAATATTTCTCTTGCATTGTTTAATAAATAATCAAAAATTTATTAATGACCCACTTAAACTGTTTAACTGATTTGCTATTTAGTTGTACTGTTTAATTATATTTTTAGTTTTTTATTAAAATTTTGCAATGACTTTGGACTTTTAGGGGCAGAGATTTTTTTTCAGGGTAGACGAGGAAATGTTTCCTTGAAGGGGCAGATCGTACGTGATATTAAGAAGCTCGTAAGTGGCTATTGTGTTTAAAATTAATGTTTATGTAATAATTTTCAGATTACATATCCAATATATTTTATTCATTCAAGGCAGTTATATTTGTTCATAACTTTATTATTAGTAAGCCTGAAAGTTACTGAATCCATACAACGCACCATCAAAATAAGAGAGTTCCCAGATCCTATTCCGGCAGGATCCGGCTCAAATTAAGCCCTGCATACAAGCATGCGTGGTATAGTTGTCCGTTTACCTGAGCTTCAAATGAGAACTTCTACACTCTCTACATACCTGAAGACTGTCCTTTTTGCTCTTGAGCAGGTATGAAATCAGTGTGTCTGCCTATAATGAAACCACACTCATTTACATGGAGGCTGGCACATGCAAACATTTCCATCAGAGGGAGGAAAGCTCATTTTCTGCAATATAGATATTTCACCACTGAACCCTAAACAGTGTCTGAGCTTTCTGAGTCCCAGCAGTAATGAGGTGGATTTTTGTTGTGGGTTTGAAGCTGAAAACAACATGTTGGAAGCTGATTCACGTCTGTATTTGGTTGATGCTCGGGTGTTTTTACCTGAAGCCAGTCTGGCTCTAGTCATGGTCGGGGAGTCAGGAGCAGCAGCAGGAACCGTCAAGTAATTACTCATCTCCTTTATCTGGCAAAACACAGATGTCACTGTTTTTATTAGGGTTTTGTAAACATGAATTCCATAAATGCTCACAGTCAAAGCTTAGACGGGATGGAAAAATGACAAGAAAACAACATTCTGACTCGTTTAATTACTTGTGAAAACTCTACCACACCAAGAGCGCGTTACCAACAAGCAACGTAATTTAAATTATGTTTTGCTTTAGGGGAGCCTGCAGAAATCAGAGTCCACAGAGACTTCTACATTTGATTCACTCTGTAATGGAGTCCTTCTCATATTGCACTTACAGGCTGACGAAATGGAAACAATATAGAAGCACTCAACTGACAGAATAAATCAAGTGAAAAATATTTAATTTAGTCATTTAATTAGAACACAAATGTTTTGACTGAATCATTTAACTGATAGAATGACTCTACAGGAACTACAATTGTAAAGATTCACAAATAACTTTATAGACTGTGCAGAAAAGTTTGACTCGTCTGAATTATTTAAGCCTCAGTGGATATGAGCACAGTACAGTACATCCTGATATTTAAGTAATGTGCCTTAATGCTGCTGACTATCAGGAATAATTGGTTGACTGCAGCGTAATTAGTATTCATGATTTATGAGGCGAGCTTGAAGTTGAGGAGTGTTACCCACCTTCTTGTCGAGCTCAAACATCTTTTGTTTTTTCAAAAGGAAGTCATTAAATCCGTCCTCATATGGATCAGCCACCAGAGTGTGTCTGTTGTAAGAGTGCAACTGAAACAACATCAGAAAAACATGCATGACTAATTCAGTAATGTGGCTTGTTAATTAAGCACATGACGTTCACGGTAACAAAACTTCAACGTCATCAAAATATAAATTGTTGTGAGTGTTCGGTTCTCGGTGAAACAGGGCTGTACGATAACAAAAATAAGAACAAAAAGCCGATGATGTAACTATCAGGCGTGTTACCCTCTGCCGAGTCCTTTGAAGGTTGCTCTTGAGGATTTTCCTGATCTCCTCCTCTCGACTTTTCCTCAGCTGTGGAAGAGCTCTCTCTGCAGACTTTGGAACAGCAGGAGGAACCTTGGGCTGAATGTTCCTGAGAAACACGCAGGAAAAAAAAAAATACTCTGATATTCTGTGCTGACAACAGATGTGAGGAAATAAAAGCAAACGAAAACTGTGAGACATGTTTATGAAAACATCATCTATGAGATTTAAACGTATTAAAACAAATGGTGTACCTTTATGAATCCAAACTAAAAAGACCTCCAAACAAAGAGCCAGCCCACAGGATAACAACACCTTGATGTTTCTTACTAGTTTGTACCCAAACTGCCTTGTTAAAAATCTCTAATGACATATTGATGGCTGCAGACTCTGGTCAGTGCAGCATATTGATTTTATTGGATCTGTCATCAGCTTTTGGCACAGTCGACCACAAAATTCTGCTACATCGACTGCAAAATGAGTTGGGAATCTCTGGAATTATTCTTAAGAGTTTTAACTCTTATCTGAGCAACAGAACCTTTTCCATGTTTGTGAATAACAGTCTCACTCTGTTATTGTATGGTGTTCCTCAGGGTTCAGTCTTGGGTCCTATTTTGTTCCTTTAATACATCAGCCCCCTTGGAACAATTATCAGTAGCATCAATAATGTGTCTTACCATTATTATTTTTATGTACAAATGTTTCTGTTCAATGCCCTGAGATGACTTCTGTAGTGACTTGGCGCTTTATAAATAAACTGAACTGAATTTGTATGCTGATGACATTCAACTGTACTGTTCGTTCTGTGATTCAGAATTACACAAGTTAGCTGAATTAGTAAATTCTGGATTAAACTGAAGCTTATCCTTTCAGGCTGTAGCCCTCAGGCTGTGGAATACCCTGCCCCTGTCTCTTTGTATAACCGTCTCTGTTGATCCCTTTAAAAAGCAGTTTAAAACATTTTTATTCAGACAAGCTTTTAGTTGCATGTTTTACTTACTGTTTTTATCAGCTGTTCTTAATGTTTTTTATCAGCTGTTCTTACTGTTTCTATCAGCTGTTCTTACTGTTTCTATCAGCTGTTCTTACTGTTT